TCTGGTGCTTCCTCCTCCTGCTGCCAGCAGTCTAGCTGCCAGCCGACTTGCTGCTCTTGCTCTCCCTGCCAGTCATCCTGCTGCACACCCATGTGCTGCAAGCCTGTCTGCTGCATGCCCTCCTGCTCCTCTGTGTCCCTGCTCTGCCGCCCTGCCTGCCCCCGCCCGGCCTGCTGCAGCCTCTCCCTGGGCCAGAAGTCCTGTTGTTGATTGACCTCATCCTCCAGGGCCAGCAAGCTTCAGTACCATGCTTTAAAGTTATGCTGAGACTAACTCTGACTTGATCCTTCATCCTTAGACTCTTGCCCACTCCTGTCCAACAGGTTGTGCTGATCCCAGGGCTTGGTGGCCCATGGGCAGCTCCCAGCATCCTCGGAGCTGTAGCATCCCAAACCCTATTCTGCATCTGGCCTGATTGGTGGTCACTGAGTTCTCCCTACAGAGTGAGCTGCCACTCAAAGAGAGTCAGCCCTGTACCTTCCCCCAGTTCCCTTGCATACCTGACAAACCATACAGAAACTGGATATGGGAGTGGCATCACTTTGGAACTCTATAGACTCCAGCTGTACCCAGGCTGACTATGCCACAGACAGGTCAGCCATCTCCTCCCACAGTGCCTGGCTCTCTCATGATAATCATTCCTGCCAGCCCCCAGCATAGGTAATCTGTCCAGTAAGGAGATTCCAGCTCAGGATTCCTGGGACAGTCAGGGGCAGAGAGGCCTGCACAGGCCCTGGCACAGAACTCACTGCACCCTGGCCACTGGCCCAGGCCCTCTGTGTGCCCTGGGCTGCAAATCCCCACATCCAAATCAGCTCTCCTGCACTCCTTGACCGTGCCTCTGTTCTTTCTGCTCCCACCCACCATCCCTACTATTCAATAAAATAAATATTCTCATCCATGGAAGACCCTGTCAATCTCGTCTATTTCTTAACTCTCTGAGAACATTTGCTTTTTGATCTCTGTATGGGATTTTGAACACCTGAAATCTCTGAAACACATTTTCATTTTTTGTAGTTTCTGCCATTCTTGCTACTGGCCTTGTTTCCTTGTGTACTTCGTTCCTTTGGTTGAAGAATTCTCCTTGCTTTGTGAGGGTGTCATCATGCTGGCCCTCCACCTTAGACTCCATCCTCTGCCTCCAGCAAGGCTATTCAATGCCAGGTGTAAGTGTGACAACCCAATAGATGTTCTGCAGAACAGAGTGATCTCTGGGTTTTTCTCAAGGACCCAGGTCAGAGCAGGACTCTTTAGCACAAGGACCAGAACTCAGCAGAAGGGAAAAGGTTACACCTTTCTTCACAACAACTTCTCACCAAAATCCAGCCCTAGGAGAGTTCTTAGGACCTGTGACCTATCACAGATAGGTCAGACAGTGAGTACCATTTGATGTCACCATCATTTCTTAGGTCACGTTTGCAGTCCATAATGAGTACATTCAGCATGGGCAGTTGGAACACATACATACCACATCTCAATTCTTTTCATGTCCCCTTCCCCTCACTCCATCTCATCTACCTTTCACTACAAACCTTCATGTTGAGTGTCCTTCTGCTCAGAGTGGCCCCACACCGGAGCCCTCAGAATGCTAACCCTGTGTCTGCTCCCCACCTCAACCCCCACAGCTTCTGAGTAACTGAGCCTCCTCAGATCCTCTCTATTCTTGGCCCACAGTGTGATAGCTGCATTGTCACCCTGGACCTATGTCTCATCCCTCTCAGTCTAACCAGCAGTGGCACTGCTGGTCCCAGTGCACCAAGAAAGCCTGCGCTACCCACACTATCTCTCTGTGTTGATGGCACATGGAGTGGGATAGTCCTGCCTCTGGATGCTGACAGTTGGCCCTCTGGCATCTACATCCCCTCGTTCTGTGTCTACTATCAGCCCTTGGCCAGCTCTGTTGGCATAGGATTCCCACAGGAGCAAGAACCCTACTGTAAACGGTGACTGTGTGGTGTCTGGGTTTTGCACTTCCTATGAGACTCTAGTCTGGAACACCACTTTGCAACCATGGGAAAAATGTCTTACATGAAACGTATCTGGGCTGCAAAAAGGGTGAGGGCTGTGGCCCTACAAGAAGG